GAGAATTACACTACTGGCTAGTATTCAACATAATTTTCTGTAGACAGTCTTTTAGTGTTAGCCAGACAAGTCTTACCTGAAACTCTTCACAGCAATATCTGTGTCTATCAAAACCTATCTAGATTCCCAAGTTTCTGCCCTCCTACTCTACTGAAAATGTCCCTCAGAAACAAGATGACAGGTTCTCTTCAGGCTAGTGAACAACACCTTGGACTTCCTAGTGACAGCCTCAGAAGACATGGAGACAATGTGCAAGCCCTTGGAGGTTTCACATACTATTTTTCTCACTTTCTGTTTGAAGAGCTTCATCTTTTGCAATAACATATTGTATTCATGCATAAATTCATATCCTAGGCAAATTTCTGCTACAGATTTCACCATTACTTTTGTATTATCCAGTCCATCCACTGAATAATATTATATATAAAGATGAAGGCACTGTAAGGAATATTTCAAAGTCATTTCTATGTGATACTAGTGACTAGAGGAACAACATATTACAGTGTTTAGAACACCAATTTAGGTACTTCTAATGCTCTGAAAAGAACACTCTTAGAAGACAATGTCAAGAGGCCTTCTGGTATATCCTTCCAGCTTGTAATTTAATGTAACCATACAAAAGTTCAGTATAAAAGTATCAAAATGCACTGTTTTTATAAATCAGGCATTACTCTCAAAAAAAGAAGAAAACCCATGTAATTCCTCTAATTTTCTATTGTTATTTAATATTATAACTAGTATGCAACTAGTAGATTGGTGCTATAATGCTCTAATTTAAATTATTAGCTATAAAAATTATAAACTTCAAGACAGTGACTGAGTAGAGAAATCCAAAGCTAAACCATCAGAAATCAAATACCCATGTTGAAATAATCAGCAAAACGTAGGGAAGACTTCTAGGCACATTTTAGGGCTCCTAACTTAATAATATAAAATCAAAGACATTTTAGTATAATTTACTAAACAATTTAATTTTTAGTTTTTCTTGTGGTGCCCGAGATCAGTTTAAATGCCTGCTGTAGCTAGGTAGGGACTCAAGTGTACCAACCCACGGACCAACAACTCCACTAATGGGCCATCAACATTTGAGTCTGGCTTCCAAACCACTGTGACCTACAGCAGAGAAAAAGTAACCCCCATTTGTAAGATTATTCTCAGAAGTCAAATTTTATTTACAAACTTCACCATCTGCAGTAGTGTGACAAAAGCAGGGAAGGTGAGAAGGTGACAATATCTTCATATTGAGAATTAACAAGTAAGTGCACGTGTCAGGAAGTGGCTTCACTTTCCACAGAGGAATTCACGCCACCTGGCAGTTTGTGTCTGAAGCATACCCTGGATATCCTTGTAACACAGGACAGATAGGTAACACAAACAAACATTTTTTTTGTGTACTTTTTTATTGTTTGGAACACCAAAGTAACCCAAACTTTACATTTACAATTAACTTTTTAATAAATACGCTGTACATAATATTAGCAATACATATCATACAACGGATTTGAAAGGCAAACATAAACGTTCATACAATCAAAAGGATGAACTGAACTGCCACTTGTCACCATCTTCTCTCCTAGATGACTGACAACTGTAGATGTCATCTTTAGCTTTGACAAAACCACTACTGTTTCAGTTACTTTGGCCCATGAGATGCTAACTAAATACAGTGTCCTTTAAAATCAAGTAATAATGAATACTTGTTGTATGCCTAGTCATTTATATTTTCAAATGATGATCATTATTCAAAGAATCAAAATATTTTTAAAAATATGATGGAAGCTTGTGTTCTTACAAATTCAATTTACTGGGGGGTGTGTGTGACCTCAGCTCAGCACTAGTGAGTTACCTACAAACTCCTAAACTCCAATCTGATGACAGAAATCAACAGCAGCACCAGGCACTTCATCGTCTTCCCAGTACAATCAGTCCTCAGTGTGAAATTTTGATCGGCTTAACATTTGACAGACTTGTGTGTCACTTCAAAAATACTGGCACACATTGGAAAAACACTGTCTGTGACACACTGCAAGGAAACTATTTGGTATCTACTATGTAGAGACCTTCAATACTGAGTTGTGCTATTAAGTAAAACGCTGCTATGATTTAACATATTTTCTGAATGAATCAAACAATGGAATTTGATTGCTTGTGATCTAGTCTTATCTTCCTTCAAACGCACAAGCAACTAACTATACAAAGACTATTGTTCCAAAAATCTTGCTTTCTCCTTGAGAGCAAACCAGAGGTTATAATGGGTCAGAGCTCAGCCGTGTCAGCACAGACTGAAGTACAAATACTTGTTTCTAGATGTCCTAAGCACACCTATGGCATTTCTTACCTGTGATAGCACCCACTGTTCACTAAATGCCTCCTAGGTGGCGGTTTTGTATGTTAGCCACTGAATCACCACCACACCCTGGTGTGTCGATGCCATCGTATCCCCTTTACAGACGAAGAAATGGGACTTCAGCATTAGCCTCTAGAGGTTTAAGGTGTTCTGGTCAACACAGCATCTCCTTCTACAGACTTACAGTACAAATTAGAGCACCAATAAGAGAGGGAGCACCTAATCTCAGTGCTCCCACAGGAGGACTACACTGGCAACCAGCTCCCAGTCCACTGTGATACCATAATGTGATTCTTGTGTTCCCAAGTGGTAGAATTGTGATTCTTTTGAACAAATTCTCCTTTCTTTGCACACACACAAAAACAAAACGACAACAACAAAAAAGGAAAAACACCTCACTTGAAAAAAGCTCACCCTCTCAAGCAGGCAGAGGTATGGGTGAGAACGTATTGAAATTTACTGGTGACAGGTATGTTCAAGGAATATTGCAGGAATCAGATTCCTTTTTGACTCTTGTGACAGATGACAGTGTGAGATGGCAACTAAAGGCAAGAGAAGAATGCTGGAATGGTGGGACTGTGAGGGACTAGGGTCACCATGCCAGAAGCCTTGGAATGAGCACAATGGCAGCTCAGGGTTTCAAGAAACCCATTCACCTCTTCAAAGGGCTTGCTTTACTACAATGTAAAAATCAGGTCAAAAATATTTTCATATTAGACCTTTGTATTAATAAGAAAACCAAAACTCATTTCTCTCAAAGGTCAAGATTTATGTGACTATCTTTTTTTTTTTTTTTAAGATTTTTTTCTCAGAGACAGGGGGCTTGCTACGTAGCTCAGGCTGGCATCCAACTCAAGATCCATGGACCTCAGCCTCCCGAGTTCTGGGAATACAGTACCACAAGGCCCAGCACGTTTCCAGATGTTTCCTTCTGTTGACTGGAACTAGACTAGTCCATGTTAGTTTATTAAGTATTGATTTTAATAAAATAGTTTCCGTTTTTACCTTAATTCAGATTTTAAACCTTCCAGGATTTGAATAACACTTCATTTTCCAATTTTGTTTTAAAAGTTATAGACAAAGATAACCAAAATCAAAGAGCCCACATTAAAAGTCTCCCATTTACCTATCCCACCTCACTTATGGAATCAAAGAACTCTCCTGTGAGCGAAGAATACACAGAAAGGTGTGTGAGGTAATGAGAACACTTCAGTGCTCCTCAGCAAAGTTGCACATGCCAAATTAATCTTTTAAGTTTACCAACTTTTGATTTTTTTCACGTTGGTTGCAAAGGTTAAAGTGTCTGTTGGGTGGTAGTAAGAAATAAATAGAAGCAGGTACTCGCTCCAAACAGGACTACTTACAAGCAGTAGCTAGCAAACTCTTGGAGACCATGAAATCTTTCTACTTATTCAGTGAAGTTATGAAGTCCAAAGAAAATGACAAATACACACAATTTTGTAACAAGATTCTGTTCCAAGGCAGAGACATGTATGGGAGGGGAGGGTGTGTAGGAAAGGGCCAATCAGAAAACTACATGAGATACTTGTGCAACTACACTATAAATACAAAAAATAGCTGTAACCTAGTGAGGTCTGGCAATGTAGGTTTCCCTTCTTTCCCAGTCCAGTGGTGCCTCCTTCCATGCCATCCCCATACAGTGCAAGTTTTGAACCAATCCTTCATTAAACAATTCATCTCCCCAAATCCTCCTCTAATAAACAGTCCTTCCTCTGTATACTAAGGAAATTAAAAGTAAATTCATTATGTACACTAAAGAGCAGTCCAAACTTCATCTTAAAAAGAAATTGGCATTTTCACTATTTATGGGGTACAAAGTAAAAACTTCAATCCAAAAGATTTTGGTATAAAGTAAAGTGCTCTACCTGAAACCACTACACCTCAGGTCAGCAACAGAGTCTTTCCTAAAGCAATCTAAGATTCTGAAAACAAATGTGCACACACTTACACTCTGAAAATAAAAAGGACTCATTCAGAAGCATTAACTTCCCATTAGGAGAATCAAATATGAACTATACTTGGAGATATCACTCCAAATACAATTTTTAACTTAAAAGATAGTTATTATAAAAACTATTCATGTACTTAATGTAACTGAAGCAAACTAGAGTACACCCTCACAAGTGTAACTGGGAAACCTCCAGGCTGTACCTCCCTTGACTGCAGCGATGCGGCTGTGGAAAGGAGCAGCTCCAGCAGAAGGAAACCCAGGAGCCGGTGAGAATGGCCTCAGTTCTAACCTCACTGTACAACCCTCACACAGAAAACAACACCAGTCTGTTAAGATTATCATAGATTATGGACTTGCCAGTCTATATATTAAAATTTTTTTCCCAGGATTTTTAGAGGAATAAGAACAGAGAATTATATATGAGAAACCAGCTGCTCGGAGCTGGAAGTCTAGAATCATGTTAAAAACATGTAACCATTTCTTTCACAGAAATTACTTTAATTGATTATTTTGTATCAAATTAACATGTGTAGATGAAAATGTTTTGCTGAAGACAACTGGGTCATAATGGCACCCATGAAGACGTCTCCTGGTGAAGTGCAACTGCACAAACCATTTAAGATCTTCCAAGCCAAACTTGAAGGGGCAAAAAAAACTAACAACAAAAAAATAATAACTTACCAAGAAGTGAAACAGGCTGGGTTACAGGAGGGGTAGGCAGATTCGTGGGTGCAGCAGGTGGCACAGCAGAGCCATACATTTTCGCACTGTCACCAGACTCGGCGTTTCCTCTAGCCCCAGACACCACTGTTGGAATGGGATTTCCAATAGATAAGTCTTTTGTAGTGTCTTCACTTATACCAGCGATAGCAGCTAAGGAATATAATTACATTGACATGTGAAGCTGAGTAATTAGGTATGTTTCCGGTCAACAACCTTTAATCAGACTACAAACCCTACTATGTGCTCACTTTCCCTCCTACCCCAACTCCAAGACATTAAGCCAACACAGAGGAAAGACATGCTTACAGTTTGGGATGCTTATTGGTGGAGTGTGAGGAGGAGGAATGGATACTGGTGGAGTTATAGGAGGTGGGGGTCCAGGAGGAAGAAAACCTAGAATAAGAGAAATCAGGTCAATGCCTTCTGCATCATTTATCAGAGCCCAAAACTGTCGGTATTCTCAGCTGGGTCAGTGTACCTGGTGGTAAATGCATCGGGTTGAATCCTGGGCGCAAAAATGGTGGTGGAGGAGGAGGAACACCAGGGCCAAAGCCTGGAGGGGGGATTCCTAAGGGAGGTGTGAAAGCAGGAGGCTGGAGAGCACCAACTACAGGAGGGCCCGGTTGATGAGGTGGGACCTGGAAAGAAAAGCCAAATACGTATCTAGCTACTCTCAAATACAGTGTATGTGCACCAAGAAAAGAAAAGCAGGTATTTTAAAAATTTTATTATACCACTACATTTATTAAAAAGATGATAGGTAACCTGTGCCTACCTAAATGCTATAAATCTAAGCTCTGATTTTTCCTGTAAGTTGGCCATTTGCACTGCATTTCACTGGGTTCTATCGGTGTTCTGACAGCATAAGAGAGATTTAAAAATATTCTAAGGCAGAATTGTTTAAAAATTGGGAAATACAAGTCTAAGAAAGAACAGCTGGCAACTTATGTAGTAGGCTAAGATAAACAATGCTCAAATCTAATTATCTGTACTCCCTTCCTGGTTTTTACATGTTCTAAACTGAGAACATGCCAACATAAAATAAGCATGAGGTTAAATGAGTTAATACGCATCCAGTGACACCAAATACCTAACAAATGTGAACTCTAGTTTAAAAACTATCAATAAGGCAGATACAGTGGCTCATGTAGTCCTAGCACTTGAGAATCTCAAGTTTGAGAGCAGCCTAGGCTACATGGTAAGACCTATCTTGAAAACCAACCACCCAAACAACCAACAAACAAACAGAAAAAAAAAATCCTTTTTCCACAAAGCAGCTGGGACTTGGGTATGGATATCTGAGTTTAGAATATACCACAACTCCAACTCCCTAAAGAATGAAAGTCTAATAAGAAACAAAAACAACACAAATTACTAGAGGTTCTGGATTTCAATATCTAAGACACTCTAAGTCAGAGTGCTGAGTCATCCAAATAACACTTGTGAAACAATCTAAATTAATTCTTGTTTTATTGACATTCATGGGAAAAAGTTGTTCAAAAATAGAGGTGATATATCAAAATATGAAAAACTAGTATTCACTTTTAGACAGAACAGTAAGATTTAAAAAGCAACCCCTCCAGACCCTTGAAGCTTTAAATCATGTTCTCGACAGCCCTACCTGTGGAGGTGGCACTGTTATAGGCGCAGGAACAGGAATAGGAGGGACAGGCACAGGCAAAGGCTTAGGTACGGGTGACACTGGATCTGTGTGGGAGGCTTCTGCACCTCCATTTTGAGCAACTTCATTTTCAGACTTCTTAGGGATGCCTTTCCAATCTATGAATGAATTATAGGAATGTAACAAGAAATGTTTAGCATTTTCACTTACAACTTTAAATATAGAAATGAAAATTGAAAATTAGAAAATAATAGTTTTGTTAAAGAAATCCCTACACTAATTTCCAGTAATTTTTCAAACTGACAACAGAAATATGTAAGCAGAATGGATGGATCCATACACATTCACTTCTAACACCTGTCTTTTCAGTCACTCCCTAACACGAAAAAAGTACTGAAGACACCCTTCTGATATGGGATTCCCCCTTTGTGTGCTGTGATTACCATTAATGAATAAAGAAACTGCTTTGAACCTATAGCAGAGTACAACTTAGCAAGGTGGGCAAAACTAAACTGAATGCTGGGAGGAAGAAGGCGGAGTCAGGGAGAAGCCATGGAGCCACCAGAGACAGATGTGCGGGAACTTTGCTGGTAGGCCATGACCTCATGATGATGCAGATTAATGGAGATGGGTTAAATTAAGATGTAAGACTTAACCAATAAGAAGCTGGAGCTAATGGGCCAAGCAGCCGGGCAGCCAGGAAAATAAGCTAGCAGCCTTCTTACAACACCCTTCCACCTCTTTAACTATCTTCTAGGCAAGAAAAACCATTTTGCATTCTGGGGTTTAACTGTGATTAGTAACTTTCTGTCTCATCAATGAAACTTCCTAGGATCTGACTTCCAGGATCCCATCTTCTTATTCTTTTCATCCTGGCCAAGAGCGCATACCTGGGCATGGTAGGCTCATCTGCCTGAAGAGAAATCTAGCTCCTCCTATGTGAAAGCATGCATTATCCAAGGGGGTGGGCATCTCAGCATCATCATACCACTTTCCCTCCCTCTGGTTGACAAGTTAACACTTCTTAAACATCCATTATCTCCACCACAATCTTACTAATAACCTGGCACTTATAATATTACTATCCACAAGCAACTCAACTTCCTGGTCTAATACATGTGTGTGAGTGTGTGTTTTCTTGGGATGCTTAAATTTCTCCAAGGACACTATTATAAAGCATGAATTAAAACATAACGCAGAGTTGAGCATCACCACAAATATCTGGGATCAAAGCGGGGCTTTAAACACTTGTATCTTACTGGTAAGCATCTCTAATCAGTGTCTGCACCCTGAAACGCTTCTAGTACTCAAAGGGCTCTGGATTTACAGGTATCTCCTAATTCTCAGTCTATACCACTGATGTGCAACTGAAGTCTAAGTAGTCCATTTTTAATGCAAAGTTCTAATTATTAAGTCTAACAGTCAGAATTTTACCAGGGTCTGTATTTCTCCTGCTAAGATCTTAGATAACAGTCACTATATCTTTAATTAACAGCAGAGAGACTAGCCTATACCTGGAACTTTAAGATCACCCAAAATTCTTCCTAGTGCAAAGAATAAAGTTGTCACATAACCATGAACTGTGAAAGAAGTTAAACATTGTTTTACCTGGGTTAAGTGTGTCACTGTCCAACATTCCTCCTTCACAAAAACTCTCCAGCTCCTCAGGTTTGACTTTGTCCCACGGGACATAAGTAACACCCAATTCAACATCCCAATACTGCTTATAATCTGCCTTTATTCCTTTGTTTAAGGCCCAGGCAATCTATAACCAGTGAAAATATACAAAGAAAGGAGAAGAAAAGTGGGTCAGAAGTCTTCAGAGTTCACCATCCCCATCACTCTACTCATCTGAACAAGGCAGGCAGTGAGCACTCTGAACTGCTGTCCCCGTATAGCACTTATAGACTCCTTGACACAGGTTAGTGGCTCTTCTGTCTTCTCATTTTGCCTCAGGATAGAAATCTCTTCACACCCAGCATAGCCGGCATACAATAAAGAAAAAGTTCATCAAGAAGAAGCCCACTGCACTGGATACCACTCAAGGTCTACAGATATGGCAACATCTTTTTACAGTATACACCAGGGTAGACGAAGGTGCTAATAGAGGGCAACACTGAATTGGACCCCTCAGAGATGGTTGTTTGTGTGCTTGTATTTTTCTTTATGTTTGTTGATATTCTTAACAGTTAATTCAAAGAAGAGGTGGCAAACCTTAAGTTGTGGAACATTCATATTTTTATATAAAAAATTTTACTAGAAAATATTATCTTTAAAGCTCCAGTTAAAACTAGATAGATGTGGTATTGCATGCTGTAATCCCAGTACTTAGGAAGTGGATATGATCAGGAGCTGAGTTCAAGGCCAGTTTGAGACCTGTTTCTAAATGAATACACAAGTAAATAAGTAAGCTGGCTGGAGGCAGTGACAGAGTGCTTATCTATCTAGCCTACATTAAGATCTTGGTTAAATTCCTAGCACATTATTAAGAAAAAAAATCTTATTAAGAATTTTATGTTAGCATCAGGTGGTGGTAGTGCACACCTTTTAATTCCAGCACCTGGAAGAAAGAGGCAGGTGGATCTCTGTCAGTTCAAGGCCAGCCTGGTCTACAAGAGCGAGTTCCAGAACAGGCTCCAATGCTAGAGAAACCCCGTCTTGACAATCCAAAGAAAAAGAGTTATGTTAGCTTAACAATAAAATGACTCCTAATGGTATTCTTGTATATCCATAGATCAGTGCCTTTCTCACCATCACCAGAGAAGCTTCTTGCAATTGATGGGAGATAACACAGAGACCCAGAAGCCCTAAATGGGAAGCTTCATCAATACTCCCTCAGGGTTCAGGGAACTATGTGGAAGAGAAGGAGGAAGGATGTTAGAGACTCTAGTTCAAGCCAGACAGGGTGCCAGCAATGAGAGAGGGAAGCGGACGTGGCTCCCACCTCTAATCCAGAAATCATCTGCAATTGAAATCTTCTTACAAAGGAAAAACCCCTTTCCAAGGGAGTCTCCCTAGGTATAGTAACTTCAGGGTAGGCCACAAGACCAGCAGTGGATGCCAACACCAAACAAGTTTGGGTTTATTTTGGGGGAACTTGGTGTTCAGCTGCTTTGTTGGGCATTTCTGTCTCACTGATCTTTTGCTTTTGTGTTCTGGATTCGGCATCTGTGGAGTGTATCGTGTTTTCTGTGCTTCCCCTTTGGGTCGTTGCTTGTTTTTTTAAAGAGAGAGGATATGGAATTGGGGGTGGGGTAGGATCTGGGAGGAGAAAAGCTTGATCAGAATACACTGCATGAAAAAAAAAACTTTCTTATCAAAAAGAAACTAAGAAAATTGTCACATAAAATTGTATGTCAACTAATGTGCAACTGCTTTTAGGAGGATTTTTAAGGAGGTTTTTATGTTTCAAGCCATTTCAAAGCAGCAAAATTATAGTTAAAACAACCCCCCCAAAACTTCATATAATTCTGCATTAAACCCTTTTATAAATGATAAAAATGTACCTTTATAGATTTCTGGTTCACTTTATAGTTTCCCCGGCTCAGTTTCTGCAGGGCACGGTATGCATCCTGCCTGTGAACCATTACGATATAGGCACAACCTCTGGGAGGAATCATCTGTCCAAAACATTTCAGCATTACACAAGGCAGTGACAGAGACAAAGACCCCGGCACAGACCCCAGCCGTAGCCTCCCCCCCCCCAACAGTGCGCACGAATTCAAGGTCTGCCAAGTGCGAACAAAGCTGGACGAACAAAGGTGGACTTCCCACCCTCAGAGACAGACCTGGAGGGTTAAACTCATTCAATTTTGGTTTTAATTGAGTTGTGCAAATTTTGTTACATACTTTTCTAGAAAGACATTTTAATTTAAACATGGCTGTGCAAGAAACAACAACTACAGAGGATGTTAAAGTGAATAGGAGCAGCCCAGCCTGCAGCTGCCTCCTACAAGCCTATGCACATTCCACCTAAGAGTGCAAGAGTCTCAACAACTGGGCACATCTTAATCAGCACCCTTAAGGGAGTAGTACTCACATTAATTGATTCAATAGGACCAAACTCTTCTAAGAGACTGGCAACGTCTTGCTGAGTAGTCCTTTTGTCCAGCTGTCCCACCCACAGTGTGGTACTACAAACTAAAAATAAATCAGTGATGAAAACAGTCATTTTATCCCAAGCAGCACAGCATTTCATTATATGTCATTTCTACGTGACACTACAATGCCAAAATATAAATAGGAATATCCATTTATAAATTATAGACACTTAAAGAGTTTAGAAAATTAGGTATTTAGAAATTAAACCAGGACATTAAATTGGAAAAACAATGGTTACTTTGTGACTAGACCTAAAATGCTCATGAAAACCCAGGTCTTAAGAGCAGTGACTTGCCTGTCACTATCTGCCGGCAAAGAACAGAATGTTCTTGTACACTGTGAAGATTTGTCACTCATGACTTGAATCTAAGTCTCTATTACCAAGCAACCCAGCCATTAACATGTACAGGCACCCACTCCTAACCTGAGTTTCCTTTTATGGTGTTTCCTACATATGAGTCTCATTGTAAATACGTACTGATCAATATTATCAATTAAATCGTAATAGTTAATGATTTACAAAAAGAGTATTTCTACTATTCATATTTGAAAAATGGTGAAAATCAAGAGGTAACACAGCTAACATAATCTATAAACGGCTAAATCTTTATCAAAGAGGGACATAGGTATGCCAGTGGAAAGACACCTTCCCGTATAAAGAAGCACTAAGACTATGCAGTACACAAGGAAGACATGAGGAAACACTATTCAGAATAAAACTCAATCATAATGATAAAGTTTGATTTATGGCTTTGCTAAATCATAAAACATCTTAACCCACACCATGAAAAGACAAAGAAGTTAAGTGCGCAGAAAGGTTCATTACTTACCACTTGCAGTTTCTGATTTGATCTGAGGGAGGCCTTTTTGTCGCCGTTCCCTCTCTTTTTCTCGATCCCGTCTTTCTTGAGATCGAGACCGAGGTGAGTGCCGGCGCCTGTCCCTGGACCGGGACCGAGAACGTCGGTGACGGGATCTCCGAGACCTAGAGCCAGATCTAGATCTTCTTCTTTTTGGTGACCTAATACATTTTCATTAATGAGATGGAAGCACAAAGAAAAAAGGTAAAGATGCACATACTAAGTTGAAAAATAAAACACACCAGGTGAGTGAATGTTTGACTCTACAAGAACTCAGTAACAGGGACTGCGTGGATATAAGCTAAACAAAAGTAAACATGGCTAGACCACTTGTGACTGTACTCTGTTGAACATCTCCAACATTGCCCACAATTCCATCTGCACAATTAAGAAGCCAGTCCTCAGGATTGGAAACATGGCTGCTACTATTATCTTCTTCTACAAATGTCTTCTCTTTAGCAATTGAAAACAACACTTGAACTGTGACTACTGTGACATTTCCACTTTTGTTGGCAACACTGAACATACAACTCCTACAAAACCATATACTCACAGGTACTAAATCAACTCAAATGAAATGTAGGTGAAGAGTTTTGGATCTAAAGACATTTTTACTTTATTGAGTCTTTTTAGACAGAGTCTCATATATCCCAAGCTGGCCTCCAACTTCTGATGCCCAAAGGCTGGGATTATAGGTACATACCACCAGATCTGAAGTGCTAATGATGGAGTCCAGGGCTTTAAGCACACTAGGCAAGCACTCTACCAACTAACTACAACTCGACATGGAACTAAAAAAATAAAAAATAACATTACTTTTGACGCCTTCTGCTTATGGACCAAGGGTTAACACCGTGAATACCAGAAAAACCTCAAGCTAGGCATGGTGGACATATCTTTAATCCCAGGACACAGAAGGTAAGGTAGGTGAATTGCTCGGAGTTTAAGCCAGCCTGCTCTACACAGTGAGTGAGACCCTATCTATCTTAACACAGAACCAAAGAAAGCAGTATAACTGACTCTTCTGTCTCCTGACACACAGCTGCAGCTTCCTGTAAGTTACCTGGATGCTGACCTAGATCTTGACTTTCTGCTCTCTGGCACGTGCCGCTTAACCTCTGGGATACAAGGCTGTTCTACTTCCATTTCCTTTAAAAAAAAAAAAAAAAATCAGAAAATGAGAAATCTGGAAATCATAAGGGCAAGAGGCCAAAAATCTTAGAAATACTAATTTTCTAGTCAGACCAAATACTAACTAGCCACCACTGAGGGAAAAACAAAACCTTTTGATGTTATGCAAACCGAGGGGGAAGTTACTCTGTACAAACGACACTGTAACAGAACACCATAAAAACACTGTGAACTAGGCGCCTAACACACACTAGCTTCAGCACTCACAGTTGATAGTACTGTGGTGTGCGACTTCCACTCAACTTTTAGAACAAAGAGTTAATGAGTGCCCAAATATCTTCAACATATTGAAAAATCAAAACAGCAGACAAAGAAGAAGGAATGTGCATATAAATCAACCTAAGAAACTATTACCTGCTGATGTGGTTTTTGTGAAAGGGGTTCATTCTGTGGCTGAAAAGTAGGTTGGAAAGTTGGTTGTACTGGTGGAGTTAGGGGAATTCCAGGCTGAGGCATCCCAGGTTGGGCCATCCCAGGCTGTGGCATCCCAGGTTGCGGCATCCCAGGTTGGGCCATCCCAGGCTGTGGCATCCCAGGTTGCGGCATCCCAGGTTGGGCCATCCCAGGCTGTGGCATGGGAGGAAATGGAGGTGCAGAGAGAAGTCCAAATCCTGGCATCTGTCCATTAGGAGGAAGGGGAACCTTTCATTTTAAAGAAGAGTTAAATCTATTTTAAGTAACAGCAACCAAAAATAACCTTGAAGTTATTTTATATAAAACTTCATTAAATTTTAATTAAGAAAAGCAACTTAATTTCTCTATGTCTAACTTTTCTCAAAACCACTGTTACATATTCAAATATGATATTGATAACAGGTTCTAAGACTCACAATTCTCAACAGTGATTCAAGATACTGTCTTATTTACCCAAGGTAGCAGTGTGACAGGCTAGCCCTTAGCCAAAGAGGTACTCGATTACCAATTGTCTTCCTTCAACTTTTTAACAGTAAGTAAGCTTTTATAACAGAAGAAAAAAAATGGCTGCAATTTCTAGATTCCTGGGAAAAAAATATTTTGTTTGCTAGGCATGATGGCATACACCTGAGTGTCATATGTTAGAGACCAAGCTTGTTTAAAATGGAATTCTAGGACAGACAGAACTACACAGAAACAAGTTTCTGTCTCAGAAACAAGTTCAAAACAAAACAACAAATTAAATGGTCTTACAGTATAACCCAGGCTGGCCTGAAACATACAATTCTCCTGTCTCAGTACCTCAAATCCTGGGACTGTGTGTTAATGTCATTCCTGACTATGTGTGCAATTTAAAAAAATCTACCAAAGGGTATTTAAAATTTCAAGTGAAAATCACAATATAAGAGCAAAGAACAAGCTGACGTTTCTTCATGTACAATTCCAACATCAACTGACTGTACTCAACTAACCACATCCCAAAATACCTTTCTATAAGAATTTAGAAATTGTTGGTAGAGTTGGGCAGTGATAGTACACATCTTTAATCCCAGCACTAAGGAGGCAGAGGCAGGCAGATCTCTGAGATCAAGGTCAGTCTGATCTACAAAATGAGTTCCAGGAATATCAGGGATGTCACACAAATAAACCTTGTCTTGAAACACTAATCAACTAACCAGCAAACAGAAATTGGTGGTAATGTGTAATAAAATAACTGGCAGTATGTTCATGTGTTTTCTTCATTATTTGAACAGGCCTCCTAAATAAGTCACTAAACTCATAGTACCAGCCATATGTCATCGAATGAAAAGAATGATCTGGAAATAATAGACAAGAAAATTCGCAGGTAGTTTAAGGCTGTATATAGGCACCCTTCCCACAGGCTATAAAGCAATGTTTCCCAAGGCTGGTTGTGCACAAAAACCACTGTAGTATTTAAAAAAAAAAAAAAACAAATTTCACAGATTACCTAAAATGATTATAAGGTAGTGGGTACGGGCTCTGTGTCTTTAAAGTCCCCACTCCACCCCTAATGTAGATTTATAGCAAAGTGAGCTTACAGAATTTAGCAAAATAAATTTGATAACCCAACCCCTAATTTCTGTAACTCTCCAGTGTGCTATATGTTTTTGTTGCATAATACCAACGGTCTATATTACCAACACCAATGCTTAAAGTACTCTACAGCAGAGCACACAGGAAAGAGACTACAGCAAAGGAACCAGAACTGTAATGTCACTAAACTATTTTAACTAAAATATCTATTATTATAAGATGAGCATGTTGTGTTTATAAACTTGTAATTAAGATAAAAAGCAACTCAAAATTGTTGCCATTCCACAGCTTTCAGTGGTGCTGCAGTTCTCCTTAGCAAATTACACAGTAATAACAATGCTCAGAGGTACAAACAGGTCTCCAAAAACAGATCTTGAATTCATAAAACTCAAGACAGGAAAAATGCCTGCACATTGTGGGAGCCCACAAAAGTGGATCCATTTCCCCTTGACTAAAGGTCAGAGAGTTCAGACCTATTCTCGCACCTTTAAGGTTATATAACAGGAGGTCTGACCCAGGGTGTGGCTACTACTACCAGGATGTTAGGGTGTGGTTGCTTGATGCTTTGGGTATTGAAAAGTTAATTACTTTGTTCTTTGCGTCTTGGTAAAGAAGCCTCTTGCCTCCCCCCTCCTCTTTGGAACACGGTATATAAAGTCTATGAGGAATAAACACGAGGCGAATCTCAGTATTTCCTAGATGCCCTCCTGGCTCTATCAGTTGTCTCTAGTCTCTTTCTTAATCCTCACGCTTCCCTCCAAGCATGGACGAATAAGCTGGGCAGGACCCGCCTGGACACAAAATAGGACAAATGGCCCTCCACGAGGGGATTAGGGGATACAGTACCTGATGGTGCACTGTATCCTGCTGCATTCCCATCATCCGAGGTGGAAACTGATCCATACTTTGATGTGTGTAGGCTGTCTGCTGCATGCCATCCCCAGGATAGCCACTAAAACAAGGTGAGTACTTCAGTTACTTATTCAAAAGCATTTAAGACTCTTAGTCACATTTACATTGCAGAAGGCCACTCAGGAGTCACAGATAATCAACAAATATTGTCCAACATAACAGCCACATTTAAAATTCTAACTCTAAAAAGGATACAAATTGTCTTAATATAAGTTTACAAAATAAAGACCCCACTGAAATGTGTTTCAGCCCTAACTGTTACTTAGATTATGCTTTGTAATTGTTACCAACTATCAAAGAATTAAGAAGAGACTCACAATGGCACCTGTGGAGGAGGGGGCGAGGTGGTAGAGGGTACTGGCACAGCAGCAGCAAGAGCAGGTGTAGCCACAGCGGGTGTAGAAGGGGCAGCAGCAGCAGCAGCAGAGGCTACAGCGGTGACAGTAGCATCCTCTTTCTTTGCATCTTCCACAGCTTCAGGCTCATCATCATAATCGAATCTATCAAGCAGCTTCTGTAATGTGTACGGCAATGTTCCACTTAAAATACAGACTGAGTCACCAAACCAAAACTTTACAGAGTAACAGATGTCTGCATCAGCTACGTCCCTACCACACTATGTACAGTTTCTTTTTCTCTTCTACGTCCTGAGAAGTTTGGTCCAATGAGAGACAATTTTGACACAAATGTCACATTAGAAAAATACAATTTAAATTCTACTTTCTCCAATTATTAACTGCTTATTTCATAATAAATTCAGCTATACACTTATGTATCTAAATATTTATTTACTGAAGCTTCTAGAGTTCTGTGTACATGCCAACAGGTGTGTGCTTTCAGGCAGCTAGACCTATTACATCCACAGACTGCACAGTCAAGAATATACTAATATAATCAAAGAAAAAATTATGGTGTAGGACAGGAACAAAAGAAGTCTCTTAGCGGTTTACTAGAACAGTTTCTTTCTCAAAACTTTACAGTTTATACCAATTACCAGAAACTTTCATTAAAAACAATAAATAAGGGCTGAAGAAATGGCTCAGTGGTTAAGAGCACTACCAAATGCTCTTCCAGAAAACCCAGGTTCAAATCCCAGGACCCACATGGCAGTTCACAACTGTCTGTAAATCCAAGATCTGATACCCGCATACAGACATACAAGCAAGCTAAACACAATGCACATAAAATAAAAATAATTATTTAAAAACAAACTCAAATAATCCAGAAATTCACAAATCTAGAACAGTAATTTAAAAATAAAAATAATAGCATTTTAAGATAAAAAGTTAAAAATAACAGTAATTTAAAATAAAACTTATTGAGCCAGTGTGACGGTTAGCCTGTCATGCAAGCCTGACACCTTTAAGTGCCATCCTTGGAACCCAACCAAGCGGGGTGGGGAAACGACTCCTAGAAAGTGTCCTCTGACCTCCACATGTATGTATACCATGGCAGGCATATATATAAAAAATTAATCTCATTAAAAACAGGGAATGTACAACATTGAACAGTTATATTTTGCAATCATAAAAAACCTGTGATATAGATCTATTTTTTAAAATATTTGCATGTTGGAAGCTGAGCACAGGCATTTTAAGTACAAAATATCTATCAGTGTCCACCGTGATTCAACATTCACCAACTGTAGTTTGGTTTATGTTTCTTAACCTCCTGAGCCTTGGTTTCCTTGTCTATATTTATACGTTTCTTTCCAGCCGGGTCTGTTGTGCCCATAGCTTCCACCCCACCCCCCTAACTCATGCTTTCTGCACTGTTCTGCCTAGAACAGATTTATGGTATACTTTATACTCAAAGTCATGAATGGAAGGGCTTTCCTGAGACAAGACAGTACACAGAACTAAACCCAGTGTGAAGAGTATATGATACAGAAATTTTTTTCTTGTTGTTTTGTTTGTTTGTTTTTTTAGGACAAGGGTTTCTCTGTGTAACAGCCCTAACTGTCCTGGAACTAACTAGCTCTTGTAGACAGGCTGACCTCTAACTCACAGAGATCTGTCTGCCTCTGCCTACCAAGTGATGGGATTAAAGGCGTGCACTGCCACCCGGCAGCAAATTTCTTTATTCAGAAAACACTAGTTGTTTTCTGTACTTCAGGTACTTTGCAATTTATAGTATATTATATTAACTTATCTTATGGTACCAATAAGATACATTATTTAAGTTTTAATAGTCATACATACTGATCTGGAAAGACTTGAATCAATTATAGAATCTCTAGTTTAGCAAAAGAATTAATTTTCAATGGTTTAGAGGAAATGAAAGATGTAGGAAGATCTGAATAAAAGTGCTCCCAGTGCCTAGCTGAAAACAGACTTTAGCTCAATAAAAGAGCACAGAAAACACACATACACAGCCATACTTCCACTCCCCAGCAGAGGAATTCCTTTTTGAAAACCTCATGGAACTATAACAACTACTTCAGTTAAACCAGCAAGCTAAGTATTGCCATAGCCATGGTCTTTGCTCAGTATTTCCTACCACTGGTGTAAAAAGAAAAGTAACAGGAGCAGATGTTGAAGAATATCAGATTCAGCACTACCTAGAAATCCCAGGAGAATCACCTAGAAAACTAAGCACTCAATACTGTAACCAGTTACAACAGGATAAACATCAGCCTTTTCTCTATGGCATTATTATCAAATTCAAAGCGCTAAGGAACATTAAAAAGACTAGGAATCCAAGGATAATGAAACAAGAAAGCAGTAAGGCCTATATAAAGAAAGCCAGAAAAACATTGGGGTTTACTATGGAGATTCTGGAGCAGTGCATACCAAAGCTAAAGGGGTATATTTCTGTCCACCCAATAAGCAGGTTTTGATGGATGATGTATGTTAAAACTTAGATATCTAATATAGAGAACAGCTGTAAGTGATATGGCTATCACTGTGAAGGTAAAATATTTGAGATCACATTATCACTTAATCAAAAGAAAAGTAAGAGGGCTCTGGACTCAATCTTCCCAACAAGAACTAGGGTGTCCTGAAGAAGCTTCCCAAGAGCCACAGCACAAAACTCTACCTCAATTTCTAGTCTGTTGCTCCTCGGAATGTTCTCTTACACTAACTCCTTAAGAAAAATCTCACACAGCTGCAGAGACAACTCAGCAGTTGAGAGCTATGACTGCTCTTCCAGGGGACCCGGTTCAAGTTCCCAGCACCCACATGGTGACTCACAACCATCTGTAACTCCAGTTTTAGGGGATCTGATGCCCTCTCTGACCTCCACTAGCACCAGACATGCACACGAATCACATATATACTTCGAGGCAAAACATTTATACATATAAAATAAATCTAAGAAGAATCTTCCTATCCAATCATTCAGCCATCATAGATACTACTTATGATTTATACGAAGGACCTAGACGGGAATAGCCCAAGTAAGCCTGAAAAATAATTAAGCAGAGGGACATTTGGAAGTAAAGCATGTATACATATGCTCAGTGGTCAGGTACCTGCACTGGCTAAGACCCTGAGTTCAATTCCCAGCACCAGATATATGCATCTCTTTAACTGTTAGGATGCAGAAATAAACACCGGTGTGACAAGGCAGTGTTAACAAAACAACAACAAAAACAAAAAAGAAACCCCCCCAAAACAAAAATCAGACATGAAAACAAGTAAGACTATAGGAAAAAAAGAGGTAAATTAGCCACTTTAAAAATAGAAGCACTTAAAAAACCCTTGAATGATAATGTAAAACAGACTTCACTCCAGAAGGACTAGAGAGACAAATACAGGACACAGGAAGTAGAGAACTATTAGAATACAGAGCTTTTCTCCTGAGGGTGGAGTGGGTGGTGGTGGTGGTGGTGGTGGTAATAAGGAACAGAGAGATTTCCAAAGAGAAACCACACAGGAACTTACGTTCATTTATTCACGGAAATAGAACTTCAAACACAGATACAAACATCTTTTCAAAGCACCCTGGAACAGCTTCTTTTTGCTTTACAATTCTATTCTGTTTCCCCTACAAATATACATTCCTCCTCTCTCTCTGTGTGTGTGTGTGTGTGTGTGTGTGTGTGTGTGTGTGTATAGACAGGTTTGTGCTCGGTATCTTCATCACCTGGTCTTTGTCTTGTTCTATGTCTCACAGGCTCAGCTGGGCGACCAGAAATCTCCATGCAGCTTTTACATGGATACTAGGATGGAAACTTGGGTCACCATGCTGGCACAGAAAAACTTTACTAGCCACACCATCTCTCTAGCCCTGTTTATTCCTTTTCCACTCAAAATTTAATCCGGTCTTTCTTACAATCAGTAGTCACTTATTAATCATTAAGCTAAAATAATGAAAACTGGCATTTACCTACAACACTGATTACTAATTATTGGCAGATAAAATTCAAACATGCCATTTAATGCTATGATTTTAAAACCATCTTTTTATTTTTAAACTATGAAACTGGAAAAAGAAATTTTAAACTGTAACCCCAACAAAAAACACAAGACAAAAGTAGAGCTGTCTGGATTGAACCCCACAGCTCACCCACAGCTTACCCACACCCCTGGTGGCAGTATTTTAAACATGCCTATTAAGTTTCATTCTGAGATGCTCCCTATGGGCTCAAGTCAACACTTGGTTCCCAGCTGGTAGGCTTTTTGAGAGACAGTGAAAATTTGGAAGGTGGCACTTAGTTGAAAGAAAGCTACCAAGGGCATGTTTTTCCAGGATCCTTCTCCCCCTCCCCTGTTTCCTGTCCACTTTAAGTTGAAGAGGCTCATCTGCTATGTGGTCCTGCTGCAAACCATGGATTCAAGTCTCTGATACCAGGAACCAAAATTAATCTTCCCTTTCAATTTGTTCTCTTTGATATTTGGTACCAATCACACAAAAACAGAGCTAAGGATGGCAAGGCACACCGAGTAGGCAGAGAGATGCTGGGGTCACCCCAGGACTCACATCACAGACATGGCAACTACAGTTATCGCAGCAACAGCAAATGTCTATCAGTAGCAAAACAGATAATCTGAGGGCTCCATCTACTGGAGTCTTAATTCACGCAGAATGTACACAGACCTAATGATAAAGATCAAAACAAAAGCACAGACTCATAGTATATTACTTCTGGAAAAGAATACAACAAAACCCGATAGCATCACTGCTAAGGACAAGTGGGGCTAGTGAAGAAATTCCTTCTGTTTGCTGTTCTTTATTCTTTAAACTTGTTTATAGTGAGCCTGCATGACACGTGTAATCAGGAAAAAACATTTTGATATTGAGGAGAAAACTCAAACCACAGACAAAAACAAACAATCCAGAGAAACTGCAGAAGAGAGCCCACAATGCACATGAGTAAGACAGACAAGTGGGGTGATGTGAGAAGCGTACCTTGTCAAATGCAGTTTTTTGTTCAGGTGGGGGGAAAGCAGCTTTTTGCTCAGGTGGTTGTGTAGGAGCTGTCTTTAACTGAGCTGTGATAGCCTGAACCTGAGCCATCACAGCATTGTCAAGGGCGGGAGACTGTGGTTTTGGAGGCTGTTGAAAAGTCTGAAGGATCTGCTGCAGCTTAAAGAATGGGAAAACCGATAAACCACACAACAAAGCATCATCATCAAAGTTAGTTTACTACAAAGGAAAGAATCTCAGAGGACTGCATAGGCAGTAAGTAAACTGGACAAAGAATCCACCTTTCACTAGTGGCTAAATTTGTGGATGAACATATTACAGGGTACTGCTTACAGTTCAAATGTATGCTGATAATCCCAAAGAGACAAACAAAGCTCAAAGAAAAGAGAAAACACATGAAATTGTAATAGCGACTTTTCTAGAAATACAGAAAATGTCACTCCATATAATCCTGAATCAATCCGAAATACTAGAATTGTGAGCAACAACAACTGCCACTTCAACAGCTCAAGGTCTTTCAAAGAAGTACTACCATTTCCATATTTTTCACATCCGCATTGCCTTCTTAGCTCTAACTCATCACATTAGCTCCCTAGCGAAGGATACTCTCCCATCAAGGAGCATATGAAGGAGCAATGGGAAACAGCACCAACAGAACCTAGCTCTGCAAGCCACTGGAGCATTAAGCAGCTTACCTGCTGGCCTTGAGTTGTCTGAAACAGCTGAGCCACAGCAGCAAAGGCATCAGAGCTGGGCAACTGTGGTACAGCAGGCATGGAGTTTGTGGGAGCTTGTGTAAGTTCAGAAGAGGCTTTTACTGGGGGTGGAGGTGAGCCTAAAAAGCAAAGTGCATTAGGCCGCAAAAAAAAAAAAAAAAAACCAACCAACCAACCAAAATTAAAAGTCAACACCCTCCCCCCCCCCCCCCCGGTTTAAAACACCTTTCAAGTTTTGCTGCTAAAACAAAATTCTGTTCAGTTTAACTTGTCGTTAGTAAGGTAGGGGTATGTGTACACATTCTCATTTGAAAAAAAGAATTATAGGAGAAAAACTACCTTCCAAATGCAAACTCAAGTTTCCTTCCTATGGGAAAGGTCTATCAATTCAGAAATGAAACCTTTCATGTACAGAAACTCAATTCCTTTTAAAGTTTTCTTTTTTTTAAAAAAAAAAATCAAGCTTTTTTATATAATACAGTCTAATTATGGTTTTCTTCCCAATTCTTCCTAGATCTTCCCTACTTCCCCTCTCTGAATTCACACTCTTTTTGTCTCTCATTGGAAAACAGACAGGCATATAAAGAATAAAATAAAATACAATAAAACAAAAACCAACCAACCACCAACCAGAATAGGACAAAACAAACAAACAGAGGGAAAGAGCCAGACACCAGTGCACTGTCAGGAACTCTCCTCCAGTCAGACACACTGTACCTTCATTGTTGGTGACACTCTCTGCTACTGGAACAGCATTACTGGCTCCTGCTGCCATGTCCAAAAGAGGCTGAATAATTTCAATTTTGAATACTCCATTTTTTTGCCAAAGATTTAGCACACGAACTATTTTACTCTGTTATATGCAAGAAAATGAACATACAATAAATATTTATAGAAACATATATACCTGACTGTAAAGAGAAACCATTACTGTTTCATCAGGGGGAAAAAATCCATCAGAATCACTCTCCAGTTAAAGAACTCAGATTAACTTTTCCTCCGTGGTATTATACTCTAAGGAAAGAACACAGACAGACTACACACAGAGCAAATAAAAAGACATACACTATTCGATAGCACTGTTCTTTACACGAGTTAAAAGGATAACACTGACAAAACTCAATCATCTTAGAAAAGTTCATGAAGTGAAGAATTTCTGCAGGATGACCAAGGCAGTCAATCATTTAGGAGAATATCTGCATGTGGTCACACACGCTTGTGATGCCAGCACTCAAAAAAAGAAGACTGCAAATTTGAGGCCTAACACCACAGCACCAAAAACAATGAAAACAAACCAGTTTTTAAGAAAGTGACTGATAGCAAGAAAAAGACGTTTTATGGCCAAGAAAATATGAAGGAGATCCAAACAAAATTTTGTTACTCATGGGTACAGGTTTTAACTCCTATTCAAAGAGATCTTTTTATAAAATTATGCTTCAAGAGCCTAAGAATATACACACAGACTCTTAATACCCACAGTGTTCCTCTTTATGTAAACTGTCTCCATTTTCATTACTAAGTATTGTACCCAGGATTCCATGCTGAGAAAGTGGGCCACAGTTATGGCAGACAGAAAAGATGCCTTGGAAAAGGGCTGTTTCCTAACTAAACCTGTGTGTCTGCTGGCCTTTACCTTAGGGTTTTCTTTGAATCTCAAGTCTGAGAGAGGAAGTAAGCATTCTTTCTCTGTGTTTTGATCAAACTTAAAACAAATTCATGTTTACATCTGCTTCATAATTTCTTTCAGAATTCAGGGAAGCTAAAGCATGAGGTTATGTAAGTACTCAATAAAACTGCTATAATTCCCTCCTATTCAGAGCACTTACGTGTAACTGTCATATTCCTTCTTTCTACAGTTCACTTTGTCTGTGTGCACATATGCGCGCACAGTCTTACTGCAGATTAGTATCACTTACATTCCTACATGTTGGGAAGAATAATTCTGGGCCTTCTAGATAAAGTAGCAAACTGGGAGGAGTATTCTCTCCACTACAGGGCTGTTTCTCATTCAAGGACACCGCAGTAGCTCAGGCTTACCATTCCTAGCAGATCTTCCTGCAGCTACCTGCTATGATATGTGGCATCCTGTGCAGCTAGTGATATTGTCTTTAAAGACAGTGCTTTCTGCACAAACCCTTTGGCTTCTTTACACTATGGCAAGAACATCCAATACCAACCACACCTTCTCCAGTAATGAGCTGCTCCTTAAGTCCATGTTTGGCAGATATTAGAACTTTACCTAGCCTAACTGAAACTTTAGACCACCACTAAGCCAACTCTTCACACCACACTTCCAGCAATTACTGCTCTTCCCAGATTCTGCAATTCAACATGAGAAAAGTCCTTGTGCAAAGACCATGTGAATTTGCCATTTCACAAGAAAGCCAGACTAGGAAATGACCACTGCAGAGAAATTAAACTTAAGACTCAAGAATTTACTACATGAAGATATTTCCATATAACACAACAGGCTTTAAATAACATGAATCTAAACACATAAAAATAAAATAAACCCAACAAGAATGCAAAATTTTAGAAGTGATTAACCATACCTTATCTTCAGATGGACAAAGATATAAATATTGGAATGTAGCAGTTATATTTTTAGAGAATCTTGGCCCAAAAACATCTTTATCAGTTCCAAACTGATGACGAGACTGTCTCACAATGGAATCAATGACATATAATCCTGGAACCTTGTATTCTGGTTTACACTGCAACGTTAAAGGTACACAGTTAGTCTAAGAAAAGGAAAACCAGTGAGTGTGGTAGCGCACACCTTTAATTCCAGCACCCCAGAGGTAGAGACAGGAGGGATCTAGGAGACTCAGTGTGTTCCACTTTAGTGAGTTCTAGGCCATCCAGGGATATAACTCTGTCTCCCCACCTCCCAAAAGGGAGACCCAAAACATATCTGACACCCATTATCTCACAAGTAAGCAGCTCCACACACCCATCATCTACTGTGTAGAAACTACTTAAGTGTTCCAGCCACCTAACTAGCTGTCAAACTTCAAGTCTATGGACAGTTACATTCTTTGCTATCTCAGACTTCAAGGGCTTGTCCCCAGATCCTTGGCTTCCTTTCCAAAACTTTCCAGAGACCATTACCATCCCACTTTCCTACAAATTCAGTTATTATTAATGAATCTCTGATTCAACGATTTCCACTTTTTGAAATTACTAAAAAATACTTTTAAACATGTTAGGTTTACAAGAGAACAAAAACAAAACAAAACAAAGAAAAAGTAAAAGGAAAGGTCATTTGAGTCTATAAACTGGATGAAGGAAGGAAAAACAAAACACTAAAGGCATTCCTGTAGGAAAAGGTATAGCCTTTTGGGAAAACAATTCAGCAACAAAAATAAAGCCTTCTTTGACCGTTAAGAATTTATGCTAAGTAAAATATGCATGTATGTTTTCCTTTAAGGTTAGCTATTGAAGCATTTTCATTGAAAGATAACTATTCACTGGCTAAGTAAATCATAGTAATAATCACACAGAGGGCTATTTTGTCGGTGTTCATAATATATTCAGTAGGAAAGGCACGTCAACAACCAGTACTGTGTCCGTTTTCCTTACAAATGCACACACACACAAAACCTAGGCAAACTCAGATACACACTGTAGTAGCTGGAAGCAGACGCATACATGCAATCAAATGTTCTCCCAATTTACTTCTTTGCCCCTTGCCCTGCTGCTCCAAGAAGCTTCTAACTGACAAAGCCAGCTACTCTGTATTTCATGGCCCCAAGGCAGATCAGTTGATTAAGGTGTCTGAAATCATTCTCAGCTCTCTACTGAGAAAGATGTGCTAATTAAATACACTTTAAGATAAGACACAACCATGTAACTAAAAAAGTTTAATGTGATGGCAACAGGGAAAAGTCAGGGAAAAAAAGTAACTTAATTAAATTAAAAAGTAACTTCATCTAAAAAACTCACAGGAGAATTAAATGTCAACAGAGTGGATAGGCCAAAGGGTATGAAATAGGCAGGCCCTTAGGCTTGGGGAAAGGTCCCAACACAAAGACAACAAATTCTGTTGCCAGGTTTGACAGAAGTTGAGCGCCAAGCTTTTCTACAACATTCAAGGAATGGAATATGAAAAAATACCTTGTAAAACTTTTGTGTTTAAGAATTCAATTACTGTTTTTTAAAAATATTCATTTTATGTGTATAGAGTTTCGTCTGTCTATGTACCATGTGCATGTCTGGGGCTTGAAGAGGCCAAAAGAATGCATAGGACTCCCTGAAACTGGAGTTATGGAAGAGTGTGAGCACCCATGTGGGTGTGAGGAGCGAACCCAGGTCCTGTGGAAGAGCCTTCAGTATTCTTAGCTTGTTGAGCCATGGCTCCAACCCCAGTAACTACTTTTTTCTAGAGTGTTTTTAGAAGCACACATCCAATCTCAATCCATACAACATGTGAATATATATCAAAATGAACATGGTAGTAATGAAATATTTACCTTTTTGATGAATTTCTCTACTATCTGAACAACATGCTTGTAAAGCTGAAAAAGGGGAAACCACAGCCAGGTTATACATTTCTACATCCCCAGTTAGTGAGAGCACTCGAAACCTTAAAAATTTTAATTTAAAAATTTAGCAATTAACTCAAAGAGCCATTAGAAATAGTTCAAAATCAACAACTGCAAAAAAAAAAAAATCTTGAGAAAGGAATTAATCAAAACAGAAACAACATACTCCATTCCAAAGAGAATGAGCTTTCTTAATTGACCAACCTTCCTGAAGCAAAGTACCAGGTTAGCGCCACATGAGTAAAACATTTAAAACTAACTCGGGTAACTAACTTATTTCATTTCCCAAAGCCCACATTTTGACTTTTCTCACAGCTGCTTTGTAAGGACTAAAATAGTATAGTCACAAAGCTCTGGCAAAAGTTAACTCATGAGATAAATTCTGATGTTAAGAATATTTTAAATAATTCAAAATCGGAGCTGGCAAGATGGCTGAGTGGGTGTGGTGTTTGTTACAGAAAATTGAGCTGGATCCCTGAAACCCACATCAAGGTGGAAAAGGAGAACAGGTTTCAGAAAGCACTTCACTTGGCACGCCCCTCACCCCTGCCAATAATAAACACTTAGAAAGTATTTCCAAATTAAATATTCTTACCTTAATAGCTTTAATAGCAGCTTTAGTAATCAGAATCATCTTGGCTCTAGAGATGGGAGGTTTCATGTCCATCAGTGAAAAAAGCTTAAAAAACAAGAAATAAAGGTCAGTTCAGGGGTCAATCCCCCATTTTACAAAGATATTTATATCCACTGGCCTTTGTCGCTACAATTTATCACTTTGGCTACATATCCAACATCAGCAACTTTTCTATACACTATTCACCACGAAGAAAAGAAGAAAAGTATGAATACAAAGGCAAAAACATTTAAAAAGTTACAAAACTAGTCTTTTAAAAAACCAAAAAATCCGTGAAGGGAAACAATACACCTCCTCTGGACGGAGTCTGGCAGTAGTGTGATTTTTATGAATATTTAGTGTAATTTCAATTCCAAATCTTTATTGAGATTTTGAAGGACTTTCAATAACCTTAAGATCATTCAGACAAACACGTAAAAAGTCAAGTAACAGATTTAAAACACCATTACAAAAGATTCAAGTATCTGTGAGAATCAAAACTTCATGTGAAACCTGGCCGAGCACTCATAGTCAGACCAGTCCAATGACTCTTTACAGAAATCAGGTAACCTCTTGATCCCCAAACATGCACTGATCTTCCCCCCAAATTAAATTTCTATACATTCAATAAATTAAATTCAACTAAGATGTTAATCAGAGTCCAAAAGGGTTATAAATATAAACCCTGAGATTAGGCAGTTTAAGATCTGAGGAAATGAGGCCTGGGTATGACAGTGAGCCTTTAATCTTCTCCATACTTGGGAGGCAGAGGCAGACAGACCCCCATGAGCTTCAGGTCAGCCAAGGATAGAGTCCCCATGCCTGGGGAGATGGTTCTGAAGCACAAAGACTGAGTAACCTCAAAGAAGCCGAAAGACTGAAGGTGCAAGACATGAGAGGTTGTCCTCTCTTGCACACATGTCTACACACATTCACTCACACACTCTTTAGGTAACAACATTCACTTGAAGAGCGGTCTAATGACTGTCAAGCACATTTCAGGGTTTTGTGAGCATCATCAACCTCCCATGAGCTATCTCCATTTCCTTCCAGCTACCACTAACGTTTCAAGTGTGTCTGTGCTACTCATACCAGGCTGACTAGACATAAACATCAGTCTAAAAAACAAGTCTCTTCCTAAGCCCGACCTGGCGGTGTGTCCTAAAAACTCACAATATCATAGCTCTTTAAACTAGGGACAGTGAGTACCTACACATAGGAAAGGCATGGGATGCTGGATATAGCCAATATAGGATTCAGATACTCTAAGCAGAAAAAGCTAGAAAATTTCTATAAATGTTAAGAAAATGGGAGAAATAACTTAAGATCTCACATACAAATTCATTTTCTGAAGAGATTTAAAAAAAAAAAGGACTCACAACTCTAGCCACAGGGGATCCAGCCCCCTCTACTGGCTGTGTGCATGTGCAAATACCCCCCCCCCGTCTCAAAAATGTTCTCCTTGAGAATAACACTAAATGGGAAAGTAGAAAACACACAGTAATGAGTGAAGCTAATCAAATCAGCGAACTACGACAAATTTAAGTATTTCAACTTAAAAACTCTAAAACTGATTCATAAACATACAGCACATTTACTATTCCTCCCATCTATGTAACTGAAAATAGGGAAAGGGCTGCAGCAAAGTTCATACATGAATCTCACTGCACATATTAAGTCTTATCAACAGTAAGCAAATCACTGTTTTCTTTTAAAATAAAGCCCAATGGGTGTACAAGACTGCTACTTCTTCCAAGCAAAAACAAACCATCGTTGTCATTTTAAAGCTAAAAGCACAGGCTATCATATACCAACAGTCAACATTTGGGCAAATGAGTAACAAGAGGTGCCTAAGGAAGAAAAGCATTACTTCCACATCTAGCATGCATAAGGTAGCAGGGTAACCTCATCGCCTTCAAGATCAGTTTACACATGACTCTTAGAAAGGTTCCACATTTTAGGTGATGCCCAAGAAGTGAATCTGAACTGAAGTGGTCAAATCTAGTCTTTTCTGAAGTCGATACTTCCTAATGGTGCATCCAATGCTGTTTATCAACTACATTTATGCAGAGAGCACTGACCATGATAGGGAGTTCAAGAGACAAACAAACAAACAAAACAACAACAACAACAAAAAAATCCACGCCAAGCAGGCATACTCTCCTCCCTGAATGTTGCATTCATTTGACAACAAAAGAGAATGTGGTCTGTGCACTCAACAGCCAGCAGATATGCAAATGGATCTTTAACACACTACTAACAGGTTCGTGTCTGAAACAAGTATCTTCCAAAGAAAGCTGAAGAGTTTGTGCTAAAAGGAAACCCAGAGTCTACTGAAAGTTAAGAAATACAACAAAGTACAATGAGCTGCACAAAGGAACATCAGAGCAAAGTGAAATCTTAAAACTCAAAAAAGCACCTAGCACTATCAGATACTCTAAGGCTAAAACACAAACCAAACCTTGTTCTTTCATATAGGACATGAAGCTTTTGCTCATTAGTGTGCATTTTTATGTGGCATGAATACAGGTGTGAGCACGTCATGGTACATGTGGTGGTGGGGGAAGAGGTCCGACAACAGAGGACTTTAGGTAGTCAGTTTTCTCTTTCTACTTTTGATACCAGGGACAGATTCAGGTTCTCTAATGCCTTTAAATAGCCCTTGCCCACTGAGTTACCTTGAAGACCCCAGACACGAGTTTTCAGTCGTAAGGATTGCATGTAAGCAGAAATATACTGGGGAGTTAATTTTTCACTCAAAAGTTCAAACATCACTAAACTCAGCATAGAGAGAGGCAGTAAGACCATCTTCAAAACTATTTATTTAGAGACAAGATACCACTGTGTATCTCTGGTTGATATGGATTCAATGAGTAGACCAGGTTAGCTTTGAAATTAGAGCCCCACCTGCCTTTGCCTCTCAGTGCCGGGATCAAAGTGTGTCCGTCATGCCTAGCTTATACTGTAGAACTGTTAAGCAGAGTCTCCAGGGACTCTGACTCTGCTTTAACAACTCTCCTTAAGTCTTAAGAGTTGTGAATTTGAAGTAATTGGAGGAAGAACGCTTTAGGAATGCTTCAAAATTGGAGATTTAAAGGTTATTTTATTATGAATTCAACTTCCTAAATGGAAATATCTAAAATTGTCCTTGTTAGTTTGTCTTTTTTTTCTTTTCCCGGTTTCTATGTCCACTCTTCCTCACGTGTACCAATCTCAATTTTGTTTTCTTTAATTAAAATCAATTATGCCAAGCCCAATACAAAAGTCCATGATGCCAGCTACTTGAGAAGCTAAGGAAGAGGTTACAAGTTCAAGGCCGGCCTAGGTAACTTAGTGGGACCTTGTCTCAAGATAGGAAGTGGATAAAAATAAGTGACAAATTGTTAATCTGTTTTCTATTTACAAGAAGTTTCTCTCATCTAAAGTAAATGACTTATTACTTAGTCCTTCCTCTCCTCATCTAGAGTCAAGTTGCAATTTAATAATCTTAAACAAAAAATCTGTCAGGGTCACCAGTATTGCCTGAGGAATCTCTCAGATTTAAAAAGGCTGGCCTTGTGACAATCCCCAACTTTGATTACAGCTACTGACTTTTCATAATTTGTTATTCTCGGTTAGAATAGAGACCCAATAATCAACTAACTGCCCACGAAGTTTGGCTAATGCTGAGAAAGGAAATCATGCCAGGCTCTGCTTACTTAAGAAAAGTTAAGTGTGGAATGCAAATATGAAAGCATGAAAGCATTAGTGCAGCGCGTAGTGGAAAGCAAATGCTCAGGAGGTCAGCTTACTACCAGGACACCTTGGAACCAGTTCAGCGTACTGTGCTGCGTTCCAAGCTACAGGCTGAAGTCACAACTAATGCACTTAATGCATGCATCCTGTGTCACTGGCTCCGCACTAAGGTCCCTTATAGAAAATGGCATAGACGCTGCATTTTCTCTGGGGTACTTTCAAGCATTTCTAGACCACTTATACTATCTAATACATAGCAAGTACTATGTAAAAAGAAGTGTTGAGATGCACTATTTAGGGAATAATGACAAGAAAAAAAGAAGCCTGTCTTACAAATGAGATACGAGATCAACAACGTTCAAGCACTTGGTGGTGGGACGGGAGATTCTCAAACACTGAGCAGCCTGAGCAGGCTGCCTGCATACCACCACTCACAGGAGTCCCAGCACTGCCCAACACACAGCCAAGTGAAGCCTCACCCTCTGGAACAGTCTACAGTTTTCACTCCAGGATTTTAAAGGCAAAACTAATAGACTCTGAGGTAGAACTGGGTCAAATGTACCTGTTTCACAAAATCTGCACTTTTGCTTGTGGGCACTTAACACATAACTCTAAGAGTAAATTATAAGTCTTCCTGTGGATTGTGGTTAAAAAATAGGAAAGCACTGATGGTGAGGCATTTTAAAATGAGAAAAATAAAGCCTAAATGTTAAAATGGAGAGAACAAAAGAAACTCAAGACTGGTTATTTCTAACCAATATTCAGTCTTGGCAAACAAATCTCAAGGGAAAAACAAAAATGAACCAATTTAAACACAAAGCGTGAAAATTATAAAAACTGTTATTCCAACATTGTCTAATATGGAAAAACATCAGACACTGAGGGACTAAGAGCTAAAAGACTGGACTTTAAATCTGTAGTCTGTACTGCTACCTACCTGTGAACAGTGAGTGTTCACAGATCACTTGGTACAGCTTCCTCCCCCTACAGGCCTGCATTTTCATTCATTTATCAATGGGAAAAGCCAACCACGAAGAAGGGTGAGGAGCCATGAACTCCTCTTACACTGATTAGCAGCAGACCTCAAAAGCACCAGAATGAGGAGTGGTTCTTTCTCTTTCCTAATGTTCGTTTGCACCAACCAGGCTGAGTCACTCTTTGTTCTATCAACTGTTAGGAAAGGCTACCTGTGACATGGTCTTCTCTCATGCTAGCCTGAGACACAAAGATCACTCCTCAGCCTCATTCCTTGCCCTGCCTTGTAAATAGACTTAGGACAAAGAACACAAGAATTTAGACTATGCTTCTTTTGGAATTCATTCACACT